CTCCCTCCCTCTCTCTCTCTCTCTCTCTTAAATTGAGGCAATTTAACTTTTACCCACAAAAAACAATACTCCCTGCACAGGCACTGCAGCATATGTAAAGAGAGCCTTAGATGGTCAAGCAATTTCAAGAAAGTGCTGTCATACCTTCCTGTCCTGAGATACGGCATATTCAATTGTCTCATCACCCTCTTCAGATTGATAAACCAGATCAAATTTCCCTGGCTCTTTTGCTACTAAAAAAAAGACCACAACAAAATGTAAATTACATCGGGATGTTTGCAATGTGACAGGAAATTGTAGGACTTGTCAACAGATGGTGTAAATCAGAGGTGTCAAACTCAAGGTCCAGGGCCCAGATTCCGCCCGCAGGATGCTTAGATCTGGTCTGCGGGGCCGAGGTGCCTCTGCCTGTGAAAACAGACGTTGGGAGCGCCATGTGCAGCCCTCCCAAGCTCCATTGTCGTTGGCAGAGAACTGCAGGAGGCCGTTGCAGCCAAAAATGGAGCTTGCGAGGGTCACAGGTGGCCCTCCCGAGCTGCATTTTCTCTGCCAGAGGGTTGCAAGAGGCCATCCCAGCCTAAAACGGAGCATGGAAACTTGTTTTCACTGGCAGAGCGCTTGGCCCACCACAGACGCCCCCAACATGTGTGACATCAAGCTGGCCACATCTACCCTGCTTCCTCATGCGCCCTTCCCCTGAGGTCAAACACAACCCTGACGCTGCCCTCAATGAAATTAAGTTTGACACCCCTGGTGTAAATGAATGGATTCCACTGATGGAAGAGATTCCATCAACAGAACAGAGAAGGAACCCGCCCTCCTCTTTAGCTTCCGCCCCAGCAGAGGCCTGCAAAAGAAAAAGAAATTCTGCTCATCCTAGGTGAGATATTTCTCATGCTAGCTAGATTTTATCTTTAAAACAGACTAATTTTGCAAAATCCCATTATAAACGGTAATAATCCGTGTTCCCTCTTCACAAGAACAACCATTTAAGATGTTGGATATGACTTACCAGAAGAAAAAGAAAGGATTTCAAGGTCTAGCTGCTTATTAACAGGATTCCAGCTGACAATTTTTCCTTCCTTAAAAATATGGGAAAAAATTAAATAACAGCATTTGTAAGGGCATTTGAGAACACCGTGGTCTTTTGTCGTATCATAAATTTTTCTATTACTATAGTTATTGTAAAAATAAGCACCTAGTAGGCGCCTGCAGCATTAAAAACAATAGGGATTTTTATTATATGGGGAAGCTGTTTAAATCAGAGCAATTCATCCTAATCCTTATCCTGCTAAGTACAGATATTTATTTAGTGATCATTCAAAGTTACAATGGCATTGAAAATAGTGACTTGTGACCATTTTTCACACTTGTGTGACTATTGCACCATCCTCACAGTAACATGATCAAATTTCAGACACTTGGGGAGTCATATTTATGATGGCCGCAGTGTCTTGGAGTCATGCGATCCCCTTTTGTGACCTTCTGATGAGTAAAGTCAATGGGGAAGCCAGATTCACTTAATATGCAAATACCATTAATTATTCAATTTTTGGCCATGTATCTTTTTCTATATAATCTTTTACAAATCTGTCTTTCGTGCTTTTGGACGGGTTGTCTGGAAACCCAGATAATCACTGTTCTATATTCCAATAAGGAAACTCTTGCTCTCAATAGCTTTGGTTTGTTTTTTTCCATCACAAAAATAGAGTAAGAAAGATAAATTACCAAGCAACAACAATAACAACAAAAATTTGCTCTACGCTCTATAGTATTTTGTATTTGTTATCTCAAGAATCTTTTCAATGAGCTGTGGGGGTGCGGTGGTAAGAGTGCAGTACTGCAAGCTACTTCTATTGCCTGCCGGCTGACTGCAATTTGGCAGTTCAAGTCTCACCAGGATCAAGGTGACTCAGCCTTCCATTCTTCCAAGGCGGGTAAAACGATGACCCAGATTGTTGGGGGCCATTTGCTGACTCTGTAAACAGCTTAGAGAGGGCTGCAAAGCATTGTAAAGTGCTATATAAGTCTAAATGCTATTGCTAAATGCTATCTGTAAATTAGACAAGCACCTTTACTACTGGAGACAACCAGGAGGGGTGGGCACAGAATTAAGATTCAAATTGGACAGTCCACCCCAATCGCCATCTCACCTGCTTAATTCAATATTAAAATTAACACTGGCAACAAAGCAAAAAAGATCAGAAGACAATGTGGCTTTTCAAAGGAAAAGGAATTTTATTAAAAGGCCTAAGCTTTTAGAAAATGTTGCTCACTTCATCTGATGCATAGGATTTAAATTGGGATGGGGGGGGGGGAGACAGAATGATTATACAGATGCAGATTACAAGAGAAAATCTGAATTAGCTTGTAACTGCAGCTCATAAAAGCTTAGGCCTTTTACTATAACATGTTATTCAGAAAAGGTGCTCCTTCTGATTTTTTGCTACCACAGACTAACACAGCTGCTTTAAAAAGTAAAGCAGCAATACTTAATAAATAGAAAAGCAGCATCAAATTACATTGTAAAGTTGATGGTAATACCTTGTAATCGGATACTTCAGGAGTATAATTTTCGGTTAATTCCAAAAGCTGTTTAAAAAAACCCCAAACTATTAAGCTCCAGATACAGGTATAGCCTCCTCAAATTATATTGTTCACCTAAAGTTAGCATAGAAACTAAAAGTCAGTAATAAAAGCTTTATTGATTTAAAACAACCCTTTATAAAATAAAAATGTTGACACCAATTACTTCTGATAACTTTCAATGCACAATAATATTAATAATTATTTACACTGTACCCCATCTGAAAAGCTCCACTAACAATACAAGCAAATTAATGACCCTTCAGGAGAGATAGAAGAACCTATAGCTCTCCCGAAATCATTTAATCATAACTCCAAGCAGGCTCTGGCAATTAGCGCCAGTGATAAACAATCCTGTCTCTGAATTGTTGTGTACATGTCACTGTAGTAAGGCAAGTAAAACATTCCAGGAAAACATATAGGGGAGAAAAAGATATATAAATCTTTCAGAGAAGGGGCAGCCTGTGAACCAATTAATTCTTTGGTGGGGAGAGAGGAGGAGAACTCTACCTAATACAGGTACTGGCAGAAAAAAGTTCTAAAATTAACGTCTCTGGTCGACCTCAACTCTTGACTTCATGGACACCTCCATGTTGTTTTCTAAGCAACAGTAGAGAGGTGGTTTGCCACAGGCTTGAAACTTCCAAAATGATTTTTTTTTTACTTCCCGGTCCAAGGAATATTCATGAGATTTCCTGGTGACCTCTCATCCAAGAAATAACTAAATCCTATCTTGCTTAGCTTCTCAAGATCAAAGTAGTTAGGTGATTGAGTGGCTTCTGTATAACAAGGATCCTAATTCTCAAGTGATGCTAGTTTTTATTGAAAATACTCTTTTTTACACATCAGAACAGCATTTCTCTTCTATAAAGAAGCTTCCATCATCATACAGAGGAGCCAACTTTTTAATCCAATTTTGGACCTGCAGAGAAAATACACCACGTACACATATAATGCTCAACCATGTTGAGGCTTCTTCCTATCACGGTATTTTGTAAAACACTGCTTGCGATTTAGTGTCTTATGCAAACCAACAATTCTGGTGTGGGGAGTTTAATCAATCATGTTTGAACAAATCTACCTAACCCCCCCCCCCCCCAGAATATGCTACTCCACCTGCCTCACAGTTAATATTTGCATTTCATCCCCCCACCTCATATTATACAGATGAAAGAAGAATACCTTAAAGGCAATTTTTTGCCCTACTTGTGGGGGAGCAGCTAAGAGAGGTAGTGTGCTGTAGTCCTTTTTCGGAGCTTCCACGGGATTCTACAAAACAATCATTAGAACAATCATCAGTACAAAACAAGTACTAAAATGTTGTAATGCAAAGTTGCCCAATTAAGGTCTACTTTAATACATTAGCTGCCGTGACAATGATGGTAGTACCCATTCATTGGAGTATTTTATCTATGAAAAATGAAGCCTGACAGAGATAGTGAGTGTGGTATCTATTTTAATTAAAACCTTTCTAGTCTTGTGGACTTCCACACAGACCATATTCTGGGAATCCTTGTTCAGAAGGCTGGAGAGAGGAATAGATCTGCCTGTCTACTTTTCTTCCTCCAATTTTCTGAGGCAATAATTCTCCAGAGTGTGGTGTACCCAAGCTACCTCATGATTGCTGCCTCAGCTTCACCACCCCATGTGCACACAGGCAGTTGCCACACCACTTACTGCTCAGTGCCCACTCAGGAAGGTTTTTGGTACAAAATTTTACAAGGCCTCTTGAATGTCTATTGAGGTTCTCAGTCATCCAGGTCATGGTTGTCCCAAAGGTGCTTTTTCAAGAGGCAACTGGAACTGCCTCTTGAAAAAGCACCTTTGGGAAAGCTTCTTAAAATGGAGGGGTGGGAAGACCCTGGGGTCTGCGATGTTGTTGTGGTGGTCCATGAAATGTTATGATTTAAATCTCGAGTTGAGCCTTAATGGCAGATGGCCCCAAAAGGTATTTAAAAGGGAATTCAGGGTGAAGAAAAGAATGAGAACCGCTGAACTATAATAATCATACATTTGTTGATAAACGTAAATGATCATGCTCTTAAAATGTAAATGTATGGCGTATGTAAGGCTTGTTTCATTGGCTAGTCTCTGCATATTCCTAATGTTTAGTGATCCATGACTGGAGGGGGAAAAAAATCTAAGAAACACTGATCTGAACACTTTGAAACTATTCGAGTGATCCTATATTGGAATTTTTTAAAATTAACAAAAATTAGAATTAAGTTCCCTTAATTCAACTTTTTCATAAAAAAATATTCTGTCCTGCAGCATTTATTAGAAATCTGTTAAAACCAGATTTCTAATAAATTCCAGAGACTACTTTTCACCCCATGCAACACTCAGGTGTTCTTCTACCTTTTCCTAAGTAGGATAGCAAACTCTTCACGATTCTAGTTGATGCAACTTCTTCCAGGCAGATAATTATTTTAAAGTACTGGATTTTCTCTACAGCCTAGAACAGGGGTCCCCAACCTCTGGGCCGTGGCTCACTACCGGGCCTTAAACCATTCGGAACAGGTCTGCAGAAATGGTGAGGGAGCATGCGCCTGTGTCCGCCACTCATGCGGAATCATCTACATCTCTCCCACCCCCGACCAGTCTGTGCAGCCGGAAAAGTTGGGGAACTCTGGCCTAGAGGGAAAAAAAGGTACTGGCAAAAATCTATTGATTACATAGGAGCATGTGCAACTGGCCTATTGTACAAAAAAGTAGGCAGGGTTACTTTACCAGTGTTGACTATACAATGATGCAACATAAAAGGAGGAAAAGATAACAGGAAAACAATGTAGCCAAGAAACATTCTTAGTCAGTTGTATCAAATGCCAAACTTCAGAATAAAACCCCAGCAGCCTCCTACCCTGCTTCTCAATTTCTAGAGAATGTCAGAATGTAGAACATTCAATTGATACTCTGATTTCTGCAGATAAAATTAGGAACCAGACTTCCACCATTTGGTGGTAAAGACAGGTATGTAATGGCTTCTATTTTTATAAGAATGTTTCACTGCTGATCCATGGAATCATAAACTGGATGTTACTGTTACACCCACCTGAATAATAACAGAGGCATTTGTGGCTGCTTCGTTTAACTGTTTTTGTTTCTGGTTTTCGCTACTGTCATTATAGAAAAAATGAGCGCGTTCTCCCCTTCCCCTATCCCTGGTCATCCTACGGCATCCACGAACTCTAGGTCCTCTCCAAAAGGGGGTTTCTCCTCTACCGCGCCCCTTTCCGTTTTCCCTCAGGTTTGAAACTAGCCCACAAGAGATATCGGAAAGTTGTTTGTCATCATTCCCTGTGACAGACAGATTGCCTGTGGCATTTGCCTTCTGTTTCTTTAAAGCACAAGTCTCAGATTCAGAGCTATCATCAGATTCCGATGAGGAGCTTTTAGGCTCAGCCTTTGAAGAATGGCCTGTCGCCGTTTCTTGCTTCTGATATGGTAGCTTATTTCTCAGGTTACTGCTCTGCTGCTCTTCCTCCGAACTAGAATCTGAATCTGAACTAGAGGACTGGCACTTGGTTTCCTTGGTTTGTCCCGTTTTAAGAGAAACATTGTCTTTAGGTTTCCCAGCAGGAAGATTTTTTAAAGACGCCAATGGTGATTTCTTAATGTGTTGCGATGTCCCTTTAGGCGCAGGTGTGTTGGTCTGTTTTGTGCCTGGTATATTATAGTCGCTATCAGATGACGATGTAGAGGATTCACTAGAGAATCTGCCTTTCTTTGCGTTGGATTGTGCTGTTGTGTTTCCCTTTGTGCTTTTTTGACTGAGATTTTTCTCAGTCTTCTGGGAGGTGCTCCTTGATGGAAATGTACTTGCTTTCTTCTTTGCATCCTGCCCTTTCCTCTGCTCATTTTTTCCCCTAGGTTTCTTGGAATGAGAATTACTACTCTCAGTGTCCATCATAGGACTCCTCTGAGGTGCCGCATTTTTCTTTTTCCTCAATGTCACAGAATCTTGAATATTTGTAGATTTTTCTTCTTGGTGCTCAAAATTCCATTTACTTTTACTTTTGTTGGGCTCCTTATCTTCATTTTCAGAGTCCTTTGCCTCCAATTTCCACTGTCGCTTTCTTTGTTTTTTTGACAAGGTACTAGAACCATTGGTGACTGTGTTGTAACTGTTCACTCCAACAATCTCCTCCAATCTGATTCTAAATCCAGAAAGAAAAGAAAATGTCAATGTTGCAACATGTTTTATATGAGTAATGGCTAACCCTTTTGTCCTCATGTGCCAAAAGTGCGCACATGCAGCACCCCCCCCACATGCCCCAGTTCCTGCGCACGTGACTCTCCCTACGCTCCCCCAGTCTACCCGTGCATGCACATGTGACCCCCTGCACCCCATTTTGGGCCTAGCAGGCCTCCCTGAAGCCTTCTGGGACCAAAAATGGGATGCTCTCCCCATGTGCATGTGACACCCCCCCCCCCCATTAACACACGTCTCCTGCCATGCACGGCAAACCTGAAAATCAGTTGGCTGGTGGGAAGTGCACGCACATGTGCGATGGAGCTGAGCTGAGGTAGACTTGCATGCCCGCAGAGAGGGCTTCGCATGCCACCTGTGGCATGTGTGCCATAGGTTTGCCATCACGGTTTTATATAGTATCATGCTAAAAAATGAAAGCCATCCAGCTGGCCTTATAATCCAACAAAGACACAGGTTAGGAATACTGATCTCAGTACAATATTCTCTTTTTAGTCTTTCTGCCTTAAAAGTAATAGTTCTATATATGTATACTTAAACGTAAGCCACATGAGTGGGATGATATCACACAACGCCGTGATTTATTGAACCATGCTACATTTGTTTGGGCATTAAACAAAAAAAAATCATACGGTAACATAATGTGCAAAGCCTTCTCTATATTTACAGCTTATACAGTATCTCATAATGGTATATATAGGCTCACAGTCTGGAAGAACAAATAATTTCCATTCGGTCACAGTTTCTCAAAATGAGCACTACCATCACCTAATAATATGATAAATGAATTTGTATGGCAGCTTCCATAAATAAAATGAATATCATTAAGGCCAAGTTTGGGCAAGTCAGAGGATTGCTTACTTGTAATAATTACTGTTGTGGCCAAAACCTGGCTCACCAAAAGCAACCAAATCATTTTGAATATACCACATAATTTTATTAGAGTGCAAAACAACAAGACAGTACATATTGGCTTCCCAGCAACACTTTTGCATTTCGCTGAACAGCCATGAGCAAAAGCAGAACTAGAGCTTACAAATGCCTTTGGCCTATTGTGAAGACGAGGGAAAAGGATGGAACAACCTTGGAATGTTCTGGATAAAGACATCCATGTGACCTTATTATTTATTCATTCTTACTAGGTCAGCATGGCACCCACATTATCTCTGAGATATGGTAAGTAAATAGAAATAATTGGGTTCAGACCCACAGGTTCCTGCCCAATGATTCCGCCCTCTAATGCCACTCAGGGTCAAGCTTGCTGTAAATGTTTTCTTATCAGGGTACTTTAATTAATTCATGTTTAGGGTTGGGAGGAAATCCCATAGATTTGGTAATGAGTGGTGCTTACATGTATTGGAGAGGGGGTGCTTTTTATACCACATTACATTTTAATCTAGGCATCACAGCGTTCTCAAATTTTATGAGCTTCCACAAAGCAAAACAGAGACCCAAACCTGAAGAGTGATAAAGTCTTGCTAATATAAGCATAGTAAAGTTTCTTTAAAACTTCCAAGAGTTTGGGAACACCTGCTCTAGATGATAAATAATTTTATGGGGGCTTACTTCCACATTAGATGTACTAACTTTAAAATGCCACATGTTAAATAATTATATAATTTTTATAGTTGTATAATTATATTATATAATTATGGTGTACTTCGCTTACGGCAGCATTCCCCCTCCAACTACAGCTAGTCCTCGACTTACAACAATTTGTTCAGTGACGGTTCAAAGTAATAAGAGCACTGGAAAATGTGACATGACCGTTTTTCCTATTTATAACCTCTACGGCATCTCTGTGATCAAAATTCAGATGCTTGGCAACCGGTTCAATATTTAGGACAGTTGCAGTGTCCCAGGGTCATGTGCGACTTTTTAACAAGCAGTCAATGGGGAATCCAGATTCACTTAACAACCAGGCTACTAAAACCTATCAATGGTAGCGATTCACTTAACTGTGGCAAGCAAGAAAAGTCGTAAAATGGGGCAAAACTCACTTAACAAACGCCTCAATTAACCACAGAAATTTGGGGCTCAACTGTGGTTGTAACTTGACGACATCGCAAACCCCATCACTGTATGTGAATGTAATGGAAGATGCAATTCAAAGTACTTGGAAGGCACCTTCCGGCCTAAATCTGAACAGGATCAAGCTAACCTTCAAAAAATTAAAATAAATTAAAATAAATCTGCCAACATGCAAACCGAATAGCCAAAATCTCTGTTTTCACTCCAAAGTAGGCAGCCGCTCGAGGGGGCCTCTGTTTTCCCCCACCACCGTAGCCCAGGTGTAGTGTCCCCACCAGACCCTTTTTTTCACTTTCTCAAGGCTCCCACCGAAGAGAATCGTTGTCCCGCACCAACCGGGCGCTCTCGGTGGGCGGCAGGAGCGCCCCGTCGAGAAAGAGGCTGAGCCTGGCGCGGCGGCTAAAGCCGAACTTCTCCCGAATGAGGCTGATTAGGTCAGTGATGAGGCGCACTTGATTAGGCTCCACCAACAGCCAACACAGCCCACAGGCCGGAGTCACCGGCGGCGGGTAATCGAAGAGCAGGCGGAGACGTATTGGAGCCTCGCAGCCGCCGCCTATGGCCGCCGCCATGTTTCCGAGGGCCAACAGCTACGGCGTGGCATGCGGGACAAAGCAAAACGAAAGCGCGAGAGCGACAGCGAAAGAGGGCGGGGCCTACCGCCAGCTGCTTGGAAACGCTACGGTGAAACCGAGAGCGCGACAACCCGAAGGTTCTTTACCAGCACGTCAATTTGTTGCGTTGCCCCATTTTAAAAAAAGTCCTTTTTTAAAAAACTTGAATGCTTTTCAATTAAAACAATCATAACGGGGGAAAAAATCAAGTTAGGCTGGGAGTTTTCAGGATCTCTGGATGTGTTGGCGTTCTAGAAAGAGAGGGCGGGGGACCAAAGTCCACTTCCTTATTTACTCTGAATAGTTTAACATCTCTCGGAAATTTCCGAGCAAAGAGACTGCGCATAAAATGGCTGATAAAAAAGCACGGAAACGTGTTGTTTTTTTTTTAATGTGTGCGGAAGAATATTTAGTTGATCATCTTGCTAAGGGCAGCATGTCACCTGCCAAAGAAACATACTGACTTTCTTTACCAAGAAGGTGTGCAAATAAAGTGGGAAAATAGGAGATTGCAGGAGACTAAACATACTTATCTTCAAAATGTGTAAAAGACTCGAAAGTCAGCAATACTGTTAAAGGTCTAAATAAACCTCTGTTAATTGTAGGTGGGGCTGAATTCTCCCTCTGAATTTTCCTGAAATACATGCCCAGTACTTTTATTCTCCCTGCCATTGTGATACCTAGTAGCCTTCTGTATAGGATCAGGATGCCCCCCCCCCTCCTTATATCAGAGGTCTTCAAACTTGGCAGCTTTAAGAATTCTGGACTTCAACTCCAGCTATGCTGGCTGGAAAATTCTAGGAGTTGAAGTTCAGAAGTCTTAAAGTGGCCAAGTTTGGGGACCCCTGCTTTATATAAATAACCTTTCAGTAAAATAGAAGTATGTTAAACTAAATCAAGTCTGTATTCTTTCCTTGGCTTTGCTCATAATAACTCTTGAATTTGGAGGAGGCTAAGGTGGAGATTATTTGTACATTAGCACAATGTTCACTTTGTGCTTTCATTAAGTAGGGGTGTGCATAAGTGCACCAACATGCCTAACCTCCCTGTCCTACTGTCCCCATTCATTTGTACCCATTTCCTGTGTTCTTCTTCATGTTTATTCTTATTCCTGTTATCTTGTACATAAGTGACAAACCAACTAAATAAAATAAAATAAATTCTAACTAATTGCAGTGGTTTATTCACATGGTATATACAGTAGGTTTTATATAATTTTATCCTTTTAATATTGTAAACAGCCCAGAATTATCCTGTTTTAACATGGGCACAAATAAATAAAAAAATAAATGGCTCAAAGAAATATTCTTTCATTTTAAAATGAGAATAATATAGAAACATGAATGTCAGAGAAAAGGAGATGTTCATAAACCAGATTTTTGTGGGCTTGTTATTTTTATGTGGAAAAGCAGAAGACATATTCTTGCAGTTTGAAGCAGTCCAGCTCAGATTCAACTTAATAAAATGGGAACCAACTGGAAGAAATGTTGGCTGCTGTGATAGGCTAAAGATGTAACACTAAGTTAATTTTTTAAAGTCCTATTTGATTGAATAAACCACAATGGACTGGATGCATCCAAAACACTAAGCCAAAAGCAAACAAGCCACATTCACTAATCTTGGAGTGAATTCCTCTACTTGCTGTTTCTCTTGAGCAGGCTGCAATCATATTTTTTAAAGCAAGGTTTAGGGGAGCATGTATTTCAGAAAGTTTTTTTTAATGAGGAAGTTGTGGAAGCAAATACTTAGTTCCCAAATCAGACAATTTCCCGTATTGCTTGTGGTTTATTTAACCCCATTGCTAGGTTTGCATACCAGAGTAAATGCAAACAAAGGAAACCATATCCATCTTGAATGTATGTATGTTGAATGTTTATTTTATTTATATGCCGCCCTTTCCCCCCCCCCCCCAAGGGGACTCAGGGCGGCTCACAACTCAACCAAGAGAGAGGGATGCAGACAAAAATTAAAACGACACGTACCAATACATAATTTAAAACACACAAGAGTCATACCATTCGAGAAGGGAGTAGAAGCTTTTTAGCCCCAGGCCTGTC